GGCTTCAGCAGACTAAAGAGGACAATAAGAAAATATATTTTTAAATGATTCCTGATTTGCATAGGGACCATTTATTAGAGCCAGGAGGTCGCATGAGGTGAGAACTAACCTCTTCAACAGAAAGATAATGGACAGGAGGAAAGGCTGTTCAGCAGGGACAGGCCAGCACCTTCATATATAGCTCTGCATTTTGAACAGGGATGTGACAGGAATTCTGAGTGAAGGAAGCAGTAGGGACAGATTAGCAGTGGAAAACCTGCAGATTTGTAGTAGAAATTAATAAACTAACAGAAGCCATAGACCTGAAGATGTAGAAAGAGATTTCCTTTAACATGCAGTGGGACAGCTGATAAGCTGTGTCTTAATACTATATGCTACAGTGACACCATGAGTCATATATAGCATTGCAATATCTTACAGTCTTTATGTGAATATAATACTCTGTTCTCTTTGGAAGAAAGAGAGAAGCCTAAATCATACTGTGAAATAAACTGAATCCTGGATAATACAAAGGGCACTTGGGGCGTTTGAGAGTATGACAAGATGGGGAGGGAGCACCATAAAGCCATCTTGTTTTAATTGACTACCTGCAAAGCCTGTAATGGACAATTATCATCCTAACAAGGAGACTGAAGCATTAGAATAAACTTGCTGGGTAACATTTTCATTAGTACTTTTCCCCTCTACTCGTGGCGGTACTTGTTTCTTTCTCTGCTTCTTGACTTTATTTTAAACCATGTGCCAACATCCATTACGAATAACACTGTGTGAGGGTCAGTCCATTTGGAGGGAGAAGTAACATGCCTCACCATGAGGAGATCTGGGGCTGGACACTGGTTATCTCACTATGAGAGATATAACCAGTTTATGTCTCTTCTGTGACATAAACAACATCAGCTGCCTGAAAGCTGTTCCCTCCCCATGGTCCTCCAACTGTGATTCCAGAAAGGGTAAAGGACTGCTCCACCTCAAGCAATGTGTCTGTTCTGAGGTTCACCAGGCCAGACACCGGATTTCAGAATCATCCTCTGGAGGTGGTAATGCCTGTTCCCCCCATGGCAGCACTTGTGCTTACTGATTCCTATTCCAATAATACTTTCTCCAGAGGACATCAAGGCATCAAGGGCAGCAGCCTGGGACTGAGCTCAAGCTTACAGTTCAGTTCCTTTGCCTGGAATAATTGTGCATGAACTTTTTACCAGCTGGGATTGTTCCAGCTTGTGTTGCTTGAGCAAGGCCAAATCTGCTCCCAGAAGGTCTCAACTCCAGAAGCCTCAATTCCTTTTCCTTCACCTCCACTGAGAAAACCACACTTTTTAGAAAGCCACGTCCTTGAGGTATGGAAATTATAAAAAATTAAAAAGGAATTAGCAATATGAATGGTAGTAGTATCCCTAAACCTTTTTCCAGTCTTTAATGTCAGCCTTAGGTTTTTGGGGGTTTTGGTTTCGGATATTTTGGTTTTGTTTGATTTTTGCGGTTTTTGGTTTGTTTGTTGTTTTTTTTTTTTGGCAAGGGTTTTGTTTCAGGTTATTTTACTGTACATTAGATCACCAGACTCTGCCACCTGAAATGAAAGCATTTGTAAAAGGAGAAGAAATATTTGTATACATTAACCTGTTTGCTTTCACCATTAAAAGTGTAACAGAGCTTTTCCTTTCCAACTAAGTTTTGAATTTAAAACTGTAACTTAAGTATTATAAAGCTGTCACTGATTTGCCTTCCAGTTTAATTCAGGTAAATCTAAATTGCCCCTTGGGTTGCATTTTCTGGTGTCAGGAATCAATATAATTGAGCTATTCCCCTTATATCTAGACAATGAGATGATAACTGAGATATCAATGAAAAATACTTGAAATGCAACAGTGTCTTTAGGTCTCATGTCTCTGATATAATGCAAAATACTGTATTTTATTTCAGGCTTTTTTCCTACACTTTACATGCCCTTTCGTTTTTCTGTGCCTACTGTACATCACATCTGATAATGCATTCCTGCACCTTTGAAAAAGTATTTCTAGACAGTATCCTCAATCATTTCAGGAAAATTTTCTGCTATAGAAAGCACTGTATCTGGATATTACATATGCTGTATTACAGGTAGCTCCAAAATCCCTCTAATTGAATTTGCATGCTTGTTTTCTACTGTTTCTCTGTTAATTACTAAGCTTTCAAAAGGTCTTCAGAACCTCCTGGAAGACAAAACTACAAATTTCACAAGTAGCAGGTGATAAAAGGGAAAATAAATACAGAGGCTAGACCCCAGAACTTGTGAAAACTCAGGAAACCTTCCTTAAAAGATTTTGTGATGGACTTCATTATACCTTTTGCAAACTGCCTAAAATTATTTTTTTACTGAAAAGTACCAACATGCACCAAGTCTAGTTCTGCCTCTCAAATGTCTCTGTACAGTGCTGACATAACCTTTGAAATAGAGAACACAACAAAAAATGCAGTGTAGCAGCAGTTACTACTACAAAAAAACCCACTATTTTAATTCAGTGTAAAGGAAGCTTTTGTACTCTCTACATGTGTGCATGCCACAGACATTCAGATACAAGCATAGAGAGGGTTATACAGGTCTCATAGGGTGGAATTCCTAAAAAGAGCCACCACAGAGAGGACTGAAGTACTTAAAGTAGGCTATAAAACTTATGGTTCTAAACAAATTGCTTCTAATTAAGGTTAATTAGCAGCCTAGGCCTAATTTTGTGCCTTCTTTCCTGCGAAACAATCCTCACTGCTCCTACATTGAAACAGTTTTTTCTCACTGGTGAGACAGGAGCTCTGGGTATACCTGTCTGGAGTAGTGAGCACCAATCAGGAAAAGCCAGTTTCATTAAGACCACATAATGAGCTTTAAAACAAACTACTCTAAAATACCAGCTATAGTTAGCTACCCAATTACATTATTTAATTCAAGAAACATTAATTAGTGCTATCACGTCTGCATCCTAAATGAGGTATGATGACTACATTTAATAGCTTTTCCTCCAACATTCAAAAAATGTAACGAACTGTAAGAGAAGTGGGAATCACAGAAAGCATTTTATTAATTACACTAGTCTAAATAATGGACAGAAATCTTCATTTTTAAAAAATCTTCATGGCCATTCTTAATTAGCATTAACGCAAAATTGTTTTAAATTGGCAAAAAAAACACCAACCCGAAAAATATACACTTTTTTAATCCTTTTGCTTCAGATGAAATTATTTATTTTTTAATTCATTCAAACTTAAAAAAGGCAGAAAAAAAACATATCACCTTTTATGCATTTTTCAGAACATGCTGTACTCCCATTGCAGTGTACATCCATATTAGTTCATTATTAATTAAAAATATGTTTCAATACATAATCAGGGCACACATATTTTAAAATGTTCTAAATACCAATGTCAAACACAAAGATGGTACGCTCCAAGATTTCTTAGTTTATGCATGAGTATCTACTTAGACTTTTTGGTAATATGTCTTTGCCTAAGCATTAAGTGAGTTTTGTAAGGAGCAGAAAATAAGTTCTATAGGAAAATCAATTTCCCCCCCTCCCAATTCTACAACTAATTTTATATTACAGAAAAAGTAGAAAAAAGTAGAAATTTCTTCACTTACACATACAACTCTTTCCCCCAATTTATGATGACATGCAATATTGACAGATAGAATGTACATTTCAAAGGTCTGCCCAAAATGAAAACATGTCATAACAACCACTTCCTACTAAGAGACAGGTACATCAGATGCATGAGGCCTTCTATGTAAGTACCGAGGTAAATACTATGGGCTTTAGAGGTATCTTGTATATACACATGTAAATCAAGCCTCTACAGCAGCTATGAAAGTTGGTACTTTCACATACATCATTCTAAAGCAAGCTGGGGGGAGAATGCTAAAATACTGAAAAGAAGGAAACAAGGTAAGATATATAAAAGCAAAAAGTAGAATTAAAAAAATAATCACAGATTTAAAATGGCTGAAATGGACTGATAATGGATTGATTGTTGTGACAATGCTGTTAAAGTGATGCATTCAAACCAATAGTTAATTTTCCTATCTAATTTGAAAGCAAAATGAATGCAGGCAGACTACCAAAATAAATCCCAGTCTTCTTTTCATTAAAATATAATATAGGAGATCAATCCCTGTAGTATAATATAGTAAAACAGAAAATAAAATTACAGTTCTTTTAAAAGTGCATTTTTTTATTTGTGGCTGAAGAAATACAAGCAATGAATGTCTCATGCTAAAACTAAACACAAGATACCAAAGTAATACACAGTGAAAATACAGTGTCTTAGTAGTAATAGTACTAATAGAAATACTATTTGTATTTCTAACAACATTAGAAATACTAAAAGTATTAGAAATACTAATAGTAATAGTACTAACAGAAATACTATTAGTACTAATAGTATTTCTAAGTTACAATAACACAATTGCAAGTATATTTCCCTGAACTCAAGTAGTATACAGGCACAGGGCAACTACATAATAAAATAATGTGTTCAATAAGGCACAAATTTCCAAGAAAAATACAGCAATATAAAATCCCTAATCATGTGCTAGGTCATGTCTCCAAATAACATACCTATGTATTTATCAGTTACAACCAACTAGCAAATAATGTTTATTTGCAAGAAAACATAGCATGGTTTTCAGAGTAGCCTAAACATTTCATGTTACGAAAAACCACTGGAAGCACAACTTCAAATAGAAATTCATCTCAGACTGAAAACAAAACCATAACATTAGCTACAATGAAATCCTACCCTTGAGCATTCTGTCTTGGCATGCCTTTGAGAAAGCAATGCAGCTTTGGCACAGCCACAAATTTCACCTACCTAGGCTATTAGGAAGAGAAATTGGCCTTTAGAAGGAACCTCTCCACCTATATGACAAGAATAATACCCTTCCACTCCATGGTGGCAGACTGAAGGAAAGGTGCAAATCACTGCCAGGAGGTCCTGCCTAATTTGTGGTGGAAACCCAGCAGATCCTGCCCTGGGTACCACTAGACAGTGGCTCACTGCACCTCAGGAACAGCTGCTAATGGCAAAAGGTTGGAAAAAGACATACCTATATATAGTAAATTGGTAACCCACAGTTGGCTTGTGCCATAACAGCACAGTCACTCATTCCAGATGTTTCACACAATCCACTGAAATCACCAACTAGAATATTTGCTGGATTTAACAGACTCATGGCCAGCTCTCAAAGCCCTGTTTTAGGAGCTGCCAATTCCCCCAACAGATCTGAACTGTTGAAGATGATACTCTTCTTTCAATGAAGAAACTGCAAAGCTATGACCAGACCTGCTTTGAGAAGGAAAGAGAAGTTCCAGGTGAGTAAGTGCCAGGACAGAAAGCTGAGCACCTGGTGCCTCTCCCAAAGGATCCACCCGAGTGCTGCTGGAGCAGGGAAACTACACAGCCTCTTTTGCCTGCAGCTCCTGGCACGTTCTAACTACGCGTGACCAAGAGGTCAGTCTGGTGAAGAGGTGCCAGGGAAAAGAGGAAATCAGCCTTTTCCAATAAAGGCCTGTCCAATCAACCAGGAGAAATTTCCACAAGAGACAAAAGTTACTTTCCTCAGGAGAAAAAAATCATCCAAAACATGACAAACACTCTGCAAAGGAGCAGACTGGCAGGGTCACAGTCACAAAGCAACTTGAAAAGATCAAGGGCACAGATGAAAAAGAAACTGTAGCACAGAAGCACTCTTTATAAAGTCTTCACTTACAGGGACAATAATTTTCAGTGATTCATATGCATCCCATCTTAGCCTATTTACTTTTCATTCATCTTATATGAAAGCAGTTGTGAATAATCTAATATATGTTTGCATTGTACAACATCTGAAATCAGAGGCATCAACACAGTGCTTACCTTAGCCAGAAAGTGACAAGAATTTGAAACTATAGGTTACATTTGAAAAAACTCCACCTTTCATTAAGACACCTTTTTAAAGCAATAATTACAGCATGGATCTAGGTCACGCTTCAGTTATGTGTCTTCGGAAAGATCATTTAACCTGTCCCTTTCTTCTGCTTTAAAAATCCAAATAACTAACTGATTACCATTGCAAAAACCGGTCTTTTTTAGTCTTCACTCACAACATGGTATGGAGATACAAAACATTTTTGGTTTTATGTATTCCAGATGAGCCCTGGTAGCTCCTGTTATACAATGACGTAAAGCTTGAGCTTTTTTTTCACCTTTTTTTTTAAATGAAACTAAAGAGCAGAGGGGAAACAAACTAAAAAATCACACAAAGCATTCAATTTACATAATTCTTATTCGCTAAATTTGAGAGCTCCCTCCCACAATCTACAGAAATAGTCAAATGTGAGTTTCAAATTATCCAATAACAAATAATTTGTTAAAGAATGTCTTTGACAAACAATACTCAGCTGTCTCTAATTATAACACTCTTTCACCCACTCCCATTTTTATAACTTTGAGAGAAATTACGCATACTTGCACTATTCACCAAAATGTTTTGCTTTGAAAGTATGCACTGAAAAATCCCTTCAGAAATATTTGCATTAATAATTCTAAGGCAGAACAGGGCAGAAAGGATTTCTATCTTGCTTCCCATCAATAAAATAAACCAACTCACATTAACTAGTTTGTATTGGAGTACATGCAGTTAAACACCAGAAGCCTCAGAAGAGCCAAAAGTTAGATTAATCTTTGCTATCATCCTCAGTTTCAAATATCACCAATAGAAAGCAGTGGCATTTATAATCCTGCAGAAAAATCTACCAAGATACATCCAGTTGTCTTGAAGGGTTTCATATCTTTGCTTTAATATGGCAGAAAAATAGCACTATCTTTGTAAGGAGGCTAATGTCCAGGTCCCCTCAAAGGCAGGAAGGATATTTAAACTCATCTTTAAGTAGTACTTTATTCCAAACTGCCTCTCAGACAGGACTTCCTGTTTCACTTGTCTCATCAAAATATCTTATATATGATTGAAATCTGGCATTCAGTACATAAAAAATGAGAACACAAACATGCAAAAGAAACAAAAGATTAACCCTTGCAAAAACAAAGTATGAAGAAGTAATTAAAACCTGGTTCACTTCTATTTGAAACCAACTTGCCCAGCTGAGTCTGATTTTATGTGACTTTGCATACCTGAGTATTCATGGAGTATTCATGTTACCCTTTGCAGGCATGTAAACATGGTAATGGGCAGAGCAAAGGGGAGACAGTACGCCTGACTGTGTTTCAAGCATGATCACAATAGATTAGACTGGTTCTATTCCTCTCACAGAGATGATGCTTTCCAAAGACTGATCACTTCTCAATACAATTTTTTAATAGCACAGATAGGAGTAAGAATCTTAAAGAGTTTAGGATCATATTGTTTCTTTCCTGAAAATAAGCTCGTCTTACATATCTACTCATCTACTTTCTTCTTGCAAGTAGCTTCCATTTACAGAGGAAATACTAGATTTACTGGTGGAAAAAGACATTTTATGTGACAGAAAGTAAACATAAACATATATTCAAAAGAAGACAGCTTTTCTAAAAAATATTACCTTTGCTTTTAAACAGTAAATTACCTGATGTACTTTACAGTTTATTCTTCAACTCAGTAATGATATCACTTACCATTTCTGAGCTTTATATCATATTTCCTTCATGTTATTCTAGTGCTTCAGTGAAACACTGCCCAGGACTTACAAGTCACTTGTCTTCTAAGGTCCCTAAGCTTACTATACTCTCAGGACTTGATTCCTCTATTTCTTCAGTTCAATGATCAATACAGAAACTCTGCTCATGACCATTTACAAAAAATAAGTTCACTGATCTTGAGAAATTAAGTAAAATCACAGTCTCAGCATATTTTGCAGTTTTGTTTCAAGGAAGGGCTATAACTAAAGTGGGATTGGTTAAGGAAACTTGTATAGGATTAATCACTAAGCTGTGAGAAAATCATTTTACAGCATTTTGCTTCAGACAGGGATAACAGCATGCTTATTCTGAATTTTCATTTTTAAAAAAGTATCTACAAGATGTGGTATGTAACTGTCATTATGAGGCTCTTAATATGTGTTCATTTTTATTGATAGACATTACTATCCCGAAGAACTGCAGAGAATTTACTATCTTCCTGTATATACATCAAATGAAGTCAAGCTACATGAACTGTTTTTATTACAAATGACAGTATCAATTTAAATTTTCCAGTAAGAAAGCTGTATATCTCATGAGAGACATAAAGAATAAACATGTGTTTCTGCCAGCTGTTCATTTGCTAATGATTTGTTTTTTCTCTCTCTTACCCTGCTCAAGTCCCAATATACATGGAGAGCTTTGTTTGATTATTCATGGCTGTTTGCCTTTCTTATATAATGTCCTTTGCTTTTAGTGGTCATGAACATCTATGCTGAGGCATTTCAGCACACTGTCCCTATTCAGTTTTTTATTATTCACATTTTTGGACAAGTAAAACTGGAGGCAATCTATTCTGATTAACTTAAAAAGACAAAGAAATCAGGAAAAGAGTACAACATGCAGATGAGTAATAATTCACATTAATTAATTACACTTCAAATTAAACTTGAAGTTAATTTGAGATTTTTTTCCTTGTTCTTTTTTGTTTGGTTGGTTTTGTTTGTTCTAAGAAAAACAAATGAATCTGATCATTGTTTGTTTTATGACACTTTCATGTCTGCCCCATAGAGTGAGTCTGAACTTTCCTCTGCACAATGGAGCACTGCTGAAGAATTTCCCATTAATTTGTGTGCGGCCTGTCTTCTTTTATTCAAATTAATATAGCTTACAGATACATCAGCAGAAATAAGAAGTTTGGTGAATAAATGTGTGTTTATATTCGACAGCATTTGAAGAGATTAAGGTATTAAGCAATGAGGAAGGACAGTGAAAGCAAGTCTAGAGGCTCTGATTCCCAGCCTCAGGTCTGTGTCATGAGCACCACTAGCTATTACCAAGGTCAGCTGGTGCCTGTACTGGCTCCAGAAATAAAAGGCAATCTCACTGTATGGTATTATGACAGTTTCTGAGAGTTCTGAGGGAGGTGAGAGCCAAGGCCGTATCACTTTCACTTTCCTAAGTTTGTGCTGCTCCAACACCCACAATGGCTTTAGGCACATCTAAGTTACAACAAGAAATACTAGGCTCCCCTAGGTAGCAGGGCCATCAAGAGCTGAAGTACAAGAGTTTGCAACTTCATCTTTCCCTCTTCCAATGCTTTTCCAGACATCAGTGCTAAAGTTGCAAACTCAAAGGAATATTCCACTGAGCCCACTCTGTGGTTAAAAGCTTTTTAAAGGACAGAGCAAAGATAAGTGTGTCACTAAAAATAACAGAAAGATTGTATGGGTTTAATTCACATCTATGGCCAAATTGCAGAAATGCTAATCACAATGTTCTCCAGTAGGCTGGAGACTTGCTGTTCTTGCCAGGACATCTCACAAATGTGGGTTGCTCAAAAGAGGTCTTGGGTGAGGCTCTAAAGCAGACCATTACACATGGGATTCAACAGAACTTTGTATTAAATGTAACATCTAAATCTCAGTAAGTTTCATCATTACCTGCCCCAGAAGTTAGTATAGCTGGTTTTGAAGACTGCATGTTATTTAATTCAGAATACAGAAGTGTTTACAGAAACATAACACCCACCAGCCTTTAATGTTTAATTTTTTTTGTTGCTCTGTTTAGTCATTTCTCTCTCACAACCATATAATAGTATTAGAAACTGGTATGTGAACACAAATTCTCCTTTTTTATGTAAATGAACATTGACATATATAAGTAAAAAAAAAAAAAGAAAAACTTATGGCTTGTCCTTACACTGTATTTTTCCTTTACATTGAGCTGTAATTTAAGATATAGTCAACCATTTCCATCAGTGTGCAGATCTAGGAACTCAGTTCTAACTTAGTTCTAGATTTGCTTCTGAGCTCCATGTTGGGAAAGAATTTGTTATGTTCAAATTCCCTTTCCTGTTCTAAGTGTCCATGAGAAAGACATCAAGAAACACAGAACATTATTTCTCTTGTGTACCTAAGTTCCAAAAGTACTTGCTTGATTCATAATGCATTCATCTTCCAAAAGAAATGATGTTTCTTGACTTCTCTCACTCTCAAACGATAGTATTAGTAAGATAGCTACTTGAATTCCTAACTACAGCTGTATGGGGACCACAATACAAAACTCTGCTTACTTGTGACATTCTATAGTCCACATCTTTGAGTTTCATCTGAAACTGTTTCTTATTTTAGAAAGCAATTCCCTACAAATTCCTGCTATTTTGCTACTTCCCTTCAAATCTACTAATAAAATTCCATTTTGTTGCAGGGTTGATGTGGGCACACCTGGATTACCTTTGTGATCAACATTGTCTTCTGGCTATCAACACTGAGAAATTAAAATTCCACTTGCTACCTCTACCCACTCTCTTATCTTAACAGCACATCTTTGGTGTAGACGTCATCTCCTTGTTTACTGCAAAGCATCTAGCAGAGATGAGTAGTAGCCCTAAATTCCACAGTGAACATTAACGTGTTCTTTTAAAATCTTCATAGAACACAATGAGCTAACATTACTGAGGATGGGCTTTGAAGTTCTTTAAAGAGAGGGTTTTTCTTTTTGGATTGAAAATCTGTAGATTTTAAAAAAATGAAGCCTTCTGTATCTAATATTATGAGCTGGATTCCCTACTGCAAGCCTCTTTGTGAGCAATTGCTAACAGCTGTGCAAACATCAGCCACAATGTACAGGCATAATGCCCAATAGAAAATTGCCAATAGATGAAAATATCGTGTCTTCACTGAAACTGTTATTTTCCCACAAATTCTAAGGTACACACATGAACAGCACCATCTCAATTGTTTAGAGTTCAAAGCGATTGTTTAGTCTTAAGAAGAGAAGGCTCAGGGGGGATCTTACCAATGTGTGTAAATACTGAAGGGGAGTGCAAAAAGAAGATGGAACCAAACTCTTCTCAGTGATGCACTGTGAATGGATAAGAGGCAATGGGCAGAAAAGTGGAAAACAAAAAAATTCTGTTTAAATTCAAGGAACAAAAAATAGAATACTGTAATGGTGATCAAACACTGGAGCAGTTTGGTGAGAGGTGTTGAGGTTCTCTGTGCCTGAAGATACTCAAAACTCAACTGGACATGATCCTGAGTAATCTGCTCTAGCTGACTCTCCTTTGAGCAAGGCAATGGGACTAGATGGTCATCTAGGGTCCCTTCTTCCTCTACTGCTCCACAGTTTTTGATACCAAGTTTAAAATGATTGCTAGGAATCAAACAGTTTGTCACAGAACATAGAACCCAATTTTTTACTGTTCAAAAATCAACTATCAAATTCTACAGAAAAACAAAATCACCAGTTTCATAGATGTTTTGATTTGCGATAGGACTTCTTAAAAGTGAAACAGATGCAGGATAAGAAAACAAAGACATAATTTTATACTGAAGTAAATACAACTCACCTTCAAATGTTATGATCTATTTTAAGTATGAAAGCAAATCCTTTTCATTTATTAGTCGGGGAATAGAGCAGTACACACAAAGTACTCAAGTCATAGTGGAACCAATAGCTGACAAAGTTGCCATTCTATTCTCGCATGAAATATAACAATTTATAATGCTGAATGGCTCATCACAGTAAAGGCTGAATATATAAACCCACTTCCAGGTCTATTACTGGTGACAAAATAGGCACAGGCGACACATTGCAATGTTGCAGCTGTGACTAGGGATCAGACTAACATCCACAATATCTTAAAGACCAAAATCTTCCTGAACAGTCTCTCAGTAATGGGCTGGGTTTAAGTTTTAATGTAAGCAGGCACACACAGAAAATCTGCTGCCCCCTACAAGTTGTTTACATGAGATGAGGCTACCTGACTTCAAAAATCTTTCTGTGTTTAAGGTGGCTTTAAAAAAATCCTCAGAATTTTCCCTGCTTAATTTGTAACCTATTCCACATTAAAACTTTCATATTTAACACATTAAGAAAACAGGAATTACATTGGTCTGTTCAAGTCCAAGCATATGGTCAGGCAAAACTGACAATAACATCCATATGTTCTTACAGTGTGATAAATATTATGCAGTCAATGCATTTTCCTGAGTAGAAGACGTTGATTTATCTGCAAAACTGATCTACCAGAAAATGTCAATTGAAGACCAAGAAATATAATAAACATTCAACTCACGAAGACACACTTTAAGAAAGTGACATTATGAAACATTTCCAAGGAAGAAACTCAGCTAGGCTTATGCATAATATTAATGAACAAGGCCAGATATAGTCTGAGTCTCCTCCTTTCTCCTCACTGCCCTAACTCAAATTTTCTGTATTTCAGCATTCATCAGTGACGCACACTGTCACATAAACTCATACCACAAAAATGAACTGACAGGATAGCATTATCTACTGATACACTTCCATTTGTGTGGCATTTGACATGGCTTGCCTTTGCTTTAGTGCCTTCCCCTTCTTAGTGGGATGTGAGGGGCCTAAGGCAATTTTTTTAAATCACACAATGAGTAGAAGCAGAAAAGAAAGATTCAAGTAGCTTTTGGAGCACAAGAGCGCTCCTGAAATTCTCTGTGTTTTAAATGAAGTAATTCCCAAACTCACATGTTCACCTTTTACATGAAGCTCATGGAAGAAATATCTATCATATATTTAGCAATTATTAACTCTAGACAATAAAAAATGGTTCGTTATTTTCAGAAAATTACAACTGCAGAAGAACCATGCAAACTAAGCAAGACTAAGCAAGTTAATTTTCATTTAAGAGTTGAAACTTTCTAATTAAGAAAGTTCATTTCAAATGAAGAGCAGATTCTTAATGAGAATTCTTAAATGGGGAGCAGAAGGAAAGAAGGATATACACTCTTCCCAATTCCCAACTTACATCCCATTTCCCAGCCACCATGATCAGGGAATAAATGTTATAACAGATCAACTGGAAAGAAACTATCTTGGAGAGTGAAAAAAGAGCTATTCAGAACTCTTAACCCACCATGTGTCATTCACCCACCAGAAAAGATGAGAAAGAAGGGTAAGAGAGTGAAGCAGGTAAGGCTGATGGTAACTGAGCCAGCAAGTTTTAATTGACAAGTAAGATTTAGATTTACAGAAGAAAGGCATGAAGTGAGAGTATGTAGCCATTTCTGTGGGAAAAACAACAACAACAACAAAAAACCCACCAAAAAAAAAACACAAAAAATCCAAAACAAAACCAAAAACCAGTAA